CGGAGGGTGGTCGCGGTCCCTTCTCGTCCCCTCTGGCTGCGGGGATGCGGCGCCTCTACTTTGACCTTGCCTGGGGCTCCTTGTCGGGCAGACACGTGGGGCCGCGCGACAGGGCTGAGCTGCGGTCCTGGGTTTTGCGGCCTTGCTAGTTGCTGTGCTACCGTAGCTCCGGGTGGACACCTGGCGTCACTTTTCCTGAGCGGGGTTTTGCACCGTCATGAGTACTTGTATAGTTCCCTGTGCTCTTGCATTTGGAACCTGCCTCGCTTACGCCAGCTTGATTTTTTTGCCCCCCCCACACACACTTTTGGAGTGGATCTGTTCCTAAGGCCGCTTTGCCAGTGAAAGATTAACTCGCGGTGGCAGGAGTGGGTGGCCATGGGGAATGGTTTTGTGTGCTAGGGCTGCAGGTCAAGCGAGCATGGGGGCGGCCTCCTTAATCCGTTGCTAGCAATTGATGTCCTGAAGCTGCAGCGCCGTGTGTGGCCCAGGCGTGGCGGTTAGCAGAGGACTGCCAAGCTCCAGTCTAGCTAGCCTCCATGTTCTGAAGCACAGGTGGACAAGTTTGTCCGTAACTAGTAGTGATCCTTTGCTTTTTTTTTTCCCCCCCTCTCCCAGAAATGCTTCGACTACCCACAGTCCTTCGCCAGATGAGACCAGTGTCCCGGGCGCTGGCTCCTCATCTCACTCGGGCCTATGCCAAAGATGTAAAATTTGGTGCAGATGCTCGAGCCTTAATGCTTCAAGGTGTAGACCTTTTAGCGGATGCTGTAGCTGTTACAATGGGGCCAAAGGTATCAGTATACTTTAAATCGTGTTAATAAAAGAATAGTATTCTGTAGCTGCAAATTAGACAGTATTTGTTAACAAGTTTTATGAAAATCTAATTTGAGTGTAGTACATGTTAAGTGATTTGGGGGTGTTATTTAGGAGTTTCGTTAGTTGGTGGCCTTAATACTGCTGCAGCCGATTTGGGGGACTTTTGTGCAACATGATGTAATAGAGTAGTAATAGCTCAAGGAGGATTTTCAAACTTTAGGCGTAATTAATCTTGTGTGAATGCTTGCATTAAATTTTGGATCCTTTCCCAGGAGTTAGAGGGTATAGAGGGGAAAGGACAGCTCAAGACTAGTAACACCTCAGAGTGTAATTGTAGATGTGAGGTTTTACTTAACTGTACTGAAGTATTACAGTATGCATACAGTAGATGCGATAGCATAGAGTTTAGATTTATTTATATTTTTATGTGCATTGGTGTACTGTCTGCGTGTATACCCATGTGAAGATCCCAGAACTGGAGTTACAATTGTGAGTTGCTATGTGGGTGCTGGGAATTGAACCTGGGTCCTAACCACTGTGGCATCTGTCCAGCCTAAGTTAATATTTGTGACTTCGTTTGCATTGTTCTGTAACTCACCATCACACATCTCCAGAACCGTTTTCACTTGCACATGGAAAAGGCTATCTGGTCTCCCATTTATCCCTCCATTGTGCATACCTCATGATTTCTCTGCCATTTCCACATTCCAAAAGTTTGGTTTGGGGTTTTTAAGAGTCTCGATAGCTTAGTCAGACCTCTAACTCGCTTTGTACCAAGACTATCCTTGAACTGATTGTCCCAGGTATGTAACAGTTTAGTATACTATTCATCTGGTGTTTATTGAGACAGGGTCTTTAGCCATAGCTGACCTGGAACTCCTGTGGACCAAGCAAGCTTGAACCTTGAATCATTGCTGAGATCCAAGGCTGGAGTCACTCATCTGTGTGGTTGAATAAGGAGCCATAGTACTTTGAGGACATAATTGGATGTGGGGCACAGTTGCTTTAAATTGACGTTAAAGCCATCTAAAGAGCTTCGTAAAGTGCTGTTTATATAGGTCAAGACAGAATAGCTTGGTTCAAATCCAAGTTGCCAATACTGTTGGTGTCAGTTTTGAAGTTTTGAATTGCATGAGCAGGAAACAGTAAGTTAAGAACAAACTTACTGGCTGATATTTAGTGAATGGATGTTCAAGTAAATTGTACTTAAAAGCAACAGTTAATAAAAAAGTAATAACAGTTCATAACCAAAACTCGTGTACAAGTGATGGAAGGGTGTTCCAGGATTGGTGATTGTCACCTGTGCTATCTTGTTTAATAGGTGGCATCTCTTTGGGTGGGTGGGGGATGTTATCTACTGTTGTACCTCAGAGTTCCTTTTGTCTATAGACCTAAGAATGTTGATTAACTTGACCTTTGAGATTCACGTTTCAGGACTGTTAAAAGTGACAACTTTGAAGTTTATGGTTGAGGGTTGTTATTCTGTCATTGTAGGGAAGAACAGTGATTATTGAACAGAGTTGGGGAAGTCCCAAAGTAACAAAAGATGGGGTCACTGTTGCAAAGGCAATTGATCTAAAGGATAAATACAAAAATATCGGAGCTAAACTTGTTCAAGATGTTGCCAATAACACAAATGAAGAGGCTGGGGATGGCACTACCACTGCTACTGTTCTGGCACGTTCTATTGCCAAGGAAGGCTTTGAGAAGATCAGCAAAGGGGCTAATCCAGTAGAAATCCGGAGAGGTAAGAGCATGTCATTGACCCTACAGAAATGAGAGTATTGTCTCATCTTTTTCCTTTCTTAATACATTTGTTGGTGTGTGTCCATAGACAAGATGGGAGTTGTCCTCCCTACCCTTAAGGGTCTCATTTCCTTAGGTGCCGTATTGGAAACAGGCAACATGATTGGATTAGTAGTAGCTTAAGAAGAATGAATTGAGTAGTGAGGGGTTTGGTTTTTAAAATTTCATTATTTTTATGGACATTGGTGTTTTGTCTGCATGCATGTTTGTGCAAGGGTGCCAGATCACCTGAAACTGGAGTTACAGGCTTTTTAAGAATGGGTGGCTATCCCTCTTAGCCCTCCCTTGTTTTCGGGGGGCGGGGGGTGTATATTCCATGCTAGTCTTAAAAGAAATCCTCCTGCCTAAGCCTCCTGGGTATTGGGATTACAGATGTGAGCAACCACTCAACATCTTGATCAAGTTTTCACAAAGTTCATGGTTTTCAACTTAAATGTGAAATTACAAATGATTGAGTGCATATCATGTCACTTGGTACAGTTAGGACAGTGCTGACATGAGAGCTTGCATATGAATGTTAAAATGAACCTGTAAGTTCATGCTTGGTTTGGGAGCCATAAGCATTGTACTAACATTCATTCTTGAACTAGGTGTGATGTTGGCTGTTGATGCTGTAATTGCTGAACTGAAAAAACAATCTAAACCTGTGACAACCCCTGAAGAAATTGCTCAGGTAAGGGTTTTATTTCCTGCTTAAAAAGTTGGGGGTTTTTTATGTTTGTGTTTTGGTTTTTCAAGACAGGGTTTCTTTGTGTAGCCTTGGCTGTCCTGGCACTTGATCTGTAGACCAGGCTGGCCTCAAACTCACAGAGATCTGCCCACCTCAACCTCCCAAGTGCCCAGATTAAAAGCATGCACCACCACTGCCCAGTTCCTTTTTTTTTTTTTTTTTTTTTTTTTTTTTTTTTTTTTTTTTCATTTCTTTTTTCTTTTTTTAAGCATGGTTGTACAATTAGATTATTGGGGAA